AAAAAAAGAAAGAAAGAAAGAAAGAAAGAAAAAAAGAAAGAGAAAGAAAGAAAGAAAGAAAGAAAGAAAGAAAGAAAGAAAGAAAGAAAGAAAGAAAGAAGGAATTCTCCATATTCCACAAGGATCCCCCACATTCTCTGTATTTTTGACCCCTCGCAGAACGTCGGATTTTAAAATTCTTCCACTGAGGTTTGTGGGGGATTTTGAAAAGGGCAAAAAGGAGCAAATTTAGAGCAGATAAAACCAAAAATCCAAAACATCCCCAAAAACCACCCAAAAAAACCCAAAACCGAACAAAAGGCAGAGGGAGCGGGCAGCAATTCCTGGGAGATGGAAAATCGGGAATTGCAGGGCCGGGATAACGCAGGGAGGTGTTCCCAGCTGGAACAAAGGAGCCGATGGAGCGGAAAATGACCAGAAATGGGCAAAGAGAGGAACAAAAAAATCGACATTTCTGAGAGGGGAGGGGAGGGGGAGCTGCCGATTCCTGCTGGAAGGGCTCCGAATCCCGGGAAAAGGGGAAAGGGGAAATCCCTGTTGGGAATGCTCATCCCAATGGGCAGGGAAGGGCTCAGAATCCCCGGAAATCAAGGGGAAATGGGGAAATCCCTGTTGGGAATGTTCATCCCAATGGGGCCGGGACGGGCTCGGAATCCCGGGAAATCCCAGGAAATCCTTGTTGGGAATGTTCACCCCCAATGGGACAGGGAAGGGCTCGGAATCCCGGGAAATCCCAGGAAATCCTTGTTGGGAATGTTCACCCCAATGGGACAGGGAAGGGCTCGGAATCCCGGGAAATCCCAGGAAATCCTTGTTGGGAATGTTCACCCCAATGGGGCCGGGACGGGCTCGGAATCCCGGGAAAAGGGGAAATCCCTGTTGGGAATGTTCATCCCAGCGGGGCAGGGACGGGCTCGGAATCCTGGGAAAAGGGGAAATCCCTGTTGGGAATGTTCATCCCAATGGGGCCGGGAAGGGCTCGGAATCCCGGGAAAAGGGGAAATCCTTGTTGGGAATGTTCATCCCAATGGGGCAGGGAAGGGCTCGGAATCCCGGGAAATGCCGGGAAAAGGGGAAATCCCTGTTGGGAATGTTCATCCCAATGGGGCAGGGAAAGGGCTGGGAGTGTTTGGGGCAAGGATGGGCATGAAGGGGTTGAAATATCCAGGGAAAACAGCCCGGGATAATGGGATCCACAGAAAAACCCAGGGAAAATGGGATCCAGGGATAATGGGGTCCAGGGGAAATGGGATCCAGGGAAAACAAACGGGATCCAGGGATATCGGCATCCAGGGAAAATGGGGTCCAGGAAAAACAGGATCCAGGGATGATGGGATCCAGGGAAAATAGGATCCAGGATTAATGGGATCCAGGGATATCAGCATCCAAGGATAACAGAATCCAGGGAAAATGGGATCCAGGGAAAACGAGACCCAGGAACATCAGCATCCAGGGAAAAAACACTCATGGATAATGGGATCCAGGAAAAACAAAATCCAGGGATAATGGGATCCGGGGATAATGTGATCCAGGGAAAATGGGATCCATGGATAACAGAATCCAGGGATATCAGCACCCAGGGATAACGGGATCCAGGGATAACAAAATCCAGGGAAAAAACAGTCAGGGATAACAGGATCCAGGGATAACAAAATCCAGGGATAATGGGATCTGTGGAAAACAGGATCCAGGGAAAATGGGATCCAGGGATAATGGGATCCAGGGAAAACGGGATCCAGGGATAACGGGATCCGGGGATAATGTGATCCAGGGATAACAGCATCCAGGGAAAAAACAGTCAGGGATAATGGGATCCAGGGATAACGGGATCCAGGGATAACGGGATCCAGGGATAACAGGATTCAGGGATATCAGCATCCAGGGAAAAAACAGTCAGGGATAACAGGATCCAGGGATAACGGGATCCAGGAATATCAGCATCCAGGGAAAACATTCCCAGTTCAGACTGGGACACCAAACAGGAATAGGAAAACCACTGGGAGACAAAATTATGGAATTCCAGAATCTGGGTGGAATTCCCAGTTCAGACCGACACCAAACCGGAACTGGAAAACCACTGGAGAAGGAATCACAAAATTCTGGAATCCAGGTGGAATTCCCAGTTCAGACTGGGACACCAAACAGGAACAGGGAAATATCTGGGAGACAGAATTATGGAATTCTGGAATCCAGGTGGGATTCCCAGTTCAGACTGGGACACCAAACAGGAACAGGGAAATATCTGGGAGATGGAATCATGGAATCCTGGAATTTGGATGGAATTCCCAGTTCAGTCCGACACCAAACAGCACCAAAACTGGAAACGGATTCGGAGATGGAATCATGGAATCCTGGAATTTGGATGGAATTCCCAGTTCAGACCGACACCAAACGAGAATTGGAAAACCACTGGAGAAGGAATCACAAAATTCCAGAATCCAGGTGGAATTCCCAGTTCAGACCGACACCAAACAGCACCAGAAACTGGGAAAACCACTGGGAGACAGAACCATGGAATTCTGGAATCCAGGTGTATTCCCAACTCAGACTGACACCAAACCAAAACTGGAAAGCTGCTGGAGATGGAATTACGGAATTCTGGAATCCGGGTGGAATTCCCAGTTCAGACTGACACCAGGCAGGAAAAAAGAAACAACTGGGAGACTGATTTATGGAATTCTGGAATTTGGATGGAATTCCCAGTTCAGACCGACACCAAACGAGAATTGGAAAACCACTGGAGAAGGAATCACAAAATTCCAGAATCCAGGTGGAATTCCCAGTTCAGACCGACACCAAACAGCACCAGAAACAGGGAAACCACTGGGAGACGGAACCATGGAATTCCGGAATTCCCAGCTCAGACTGGGACACCAAACAGGAGCAGAAACCACTGGGAGACGCAGTCCTGGAATTCTGGAAGGGTTTGGGTGGGAAGGGCCCTCAAATCCCATCCCATTCCCAGGACACCGTCCCAGATCATTCCCGATTTTCCCTGGGCCCTTCCAGGGACGGAGCAGCCACAGCAGCGAACGGAATCCGGGAAATCCAGAAAATCCGGAAAATTCCCTTGGAGCACCCGGCTCCTCCTGCACGATGTCCCCACCCGGACCCTCACCCACAATCCATGAAAATTCCAAGATTTGGGATCTGAGCGGCAGCTCCAATCCAAGATGTGCATTTCCACTTTTTGGGGTTTTTTGGGTTTTTTTTTGGGGTGGGGCAGCAGAAAATGAGGATTTTTTTTCCCAAAAACCTCCTCTGGATCAGAGCTCTGCTGTTAAATTCCCTAAAATTCTTATGGCAACAAGAACAATATAATTACTTGTGATTTATAATTAATTATTATTATAATTTATAATTTTTTCCCCAAAAAAACCCCTCTGGATCAGAGCTCTGCTGCTAAATCCCCTAAAATTCTTATGGCAACAAGCACTATATAATGAATTATAATTTATATTATTTATAATTTATTATTAATATAATTTATAATTTTTTCCCCAAAAAAACCCTCTGGATCAGAGTTCTGCTGCTAAATTCCCTAAAATTCTTATGGAAACAGGAACCATATAATTAATTGCAATTTATAACTATAATTTATAATTAATTATAATTTGTATTAAATTATCGTACTTTTGGATTTTTTTGGGGTGGGGCAGCAGAAAATGAGGATTTTTTCCCCAAAAAATCCTCTGGATCAGAACTCTGCTGTTAAATCCCGTAAAACTCTTATGGCAACAAGAACGATATAATTAATTATAATTTATATTATTTATATATATAATATATATTATATATATAATGTATATATATATATATAAAAATTTACATATTAATTATAATTTATTTAATTATTTATTATAATTTCTAATTTTTCCCCCCAAGAAAACCTCTGGATCAGAGCTCTGCTGTTAAATGCCCTAAAATTCTTATGGCAACAAGAATGATATAATTAATGATAATTCATAATAAATTATAAATAATATAATTTATAAATAAATTACTAATACATGTAATAATATAATATAATATAATATAATATAATATAATATAATATAATATAACATAATATAACATAATATAATATATAATGTATAATTATTATATATTATAATATAATATATTATATTATACAATATATATTTATATAATATAATATAATATCAATCATATAATTATATATTATTACATATAATTATATAATACAATACATAATATATAATTATTATATATTATAATATAATATAACATATATTATACATTATATATAATATAATATAATATAATATAATATAATATAATATAATATAATATAATATAATATATATTACATTAAATTACATTACATTACATTACATTATATTATATTTTAACTGTAACATATTAAATATAATATATATATTATATATTATATATTATATAATATACTATAATATAATAATTATATAACAATTTTATAATATAATAGATAAAATTCATATATAATAATTTATAAATAAATTATAATTAATTATAATTTACATTCAATTATTGTATTCCAGAGGGTGAAACAACTCCCCAGGGAATTTCCACATTCCCAAGGTTCCAGCAGGAATTCCTGAATATTCCACATTTCCATCCACCTGGAAAAGCTCCCTGAGCTCCCAAAATCCCAATTTTGGGTCCAATCTCAATTCTGACCCAAATTTCCAAAGAAAAACAGGAAAGGAGGAAAAGCTCTGAGTTTTTTTCCCAGCTCCTTTTTCCAGGATAATTCCAGATGAATCCTCCCTGACCTCAGGAATGTTCCCAAAATCCCAATTTTGGGTCCAATCTCAATTCTGACCCAAATTTCCCAGGAAAAACGGGAAAAGAGGAAAAGCTCGGGGTTTTTCCCCAGCTCCTTTTTCCAGGATAATTCCGGATGAATCCTCCCTGACCTCAGGGGTGTTTCCAGCACTGGGGATATTTTCAGATTATAAAAATATCCTAAAAAAATTCCCCAAAAAGCCAGAAAATACCTGAAATCACGGCGATTTTCCGAGCCCCGTGCTCCTCCCTGGCGATCCTCTCCGCCTCCTCCATCAGCAGCATTCCAAACCCCTGGAATTGGAGGAAAAACAGGGAAAAAAAAGGGAATTTTGGTCAAAATCAAAGCCGTGAGCAAGGGCAGGATGTGAAGCTGGGTTCCAAAAAAACATTCCGGATTTTTGGGATGGGAATATTGCAGGATTGAGGTCAGTGAATTCCTCAGGGAATTTTTTCCTCGTGGTGGAATTTTTGGTGAGGGAAGGAGATGGAATGGTGGAATGAGGTGGGAGCAGAGGAAATCTGGGAATGCTGGGAGCACCTGGTGCTGGAATTTGGAGGGATCCCATTGGGAAAAAAAACCCCAAAAAACTGGGAAGCAACAGAATTCCAGCAAACGGGAGCTCAAATCCCATCCTGGCTCTATCCCAACTCAGTGCAAATGAGAGGAATTAAACAAAACTCCAATTTTTTGACTGAAACGTGATCCCATCGGGAAAAACCCCAAAAGGTTGGGAAGCAACAGAATTCCAGCAAAAGGAGCTCAAATCCCATCTTGGTTTGATCCCAACTTGAAGCAAATGAGTGGAATTAAATAAAATTCCAGGTTTTTTTGTGAGGGAATGAGGATGGAATGGTGGAATGAGGTGGGAGCAGAGGAAATCTGGGAATTTTTGGGTACCTGGTGCTGGAATTTGGGGGGATCCCGGCTGCTGAACGTGATCCCACTGGGGAAAAACCCAAAAAACTGGGAAGTCTAAGAATTCCAGTAAAAAGGAGCTCAAATCCCATCCTGCCTCTATCCCAACTCAGAGCAAACCAGCGGAATTAAACAAAACTCCAATTTTATGACTGGAATGTGATCCCATTGGGAAAAACCCCAAATACTGGGAAGCAACAGAATTCCAGCAAACAGGAGCTCAAATCCCATCCTGGCTCCATCCCAACTCAGAGCAAACGAGTGGAATTAAACAAAACTCCAATTTTACGATTGGAACGTGATCCCATTGGGAAAAACCCAAAACAAAATTCCGGCATGAAGGAGCTCAAACCCCATCCTGGTTCGATCCCAACTTGGAGCAAACGAGCGGAATTAAACAAAACTCCAATTTTTTTTGTGAGGGAAGGAGATGAAATGGTGGAATGAGGTGAGAGCAGAGGAAATTTGGGAATTTGGGAGTACCTGGTGCTGGAATTTGGAGGGATCCCGGATGCTGAACGTGATCCCATTGGGGAAAAACCCAAAACAGAATTCCAGCAAAAAGGAGCTCAAATCCCATCCTGGCTCCATCCCAACTCGGAGCAAAGAAGCGGAATAAAATAAACTCCAATTTTTTGGGGAAGGAGATGGAATGCTGGAATGAGGCGAGACCAGAGGAAATCTGGGAATTTTTGGGTACCTGGTGCTGGAATTTGGAGGGATCCTGGATACTGAACGTGATCCCATTGGGGAAAAACCCAAAACAGAATTCCAGCATGAAGGAGCTCAAATCCCATCCTGGCTCCATCCCAACTCGGAGCAAAGAAGCGGAATGAAACAAAACTCCAATTTTTTGGGGAATGAGGCGAGACCAGACGGAAATTCGGCAATTTTTGGGTACCTGGTGCTGGAACTTGGAGGGGTCCCGGCTGCTGAACGTGATCCCATCAGGAAAAAACCCAAAACAAAATTCCAGCATGAAGGAGCTCAAATCCCATCCTGGCTCCATCCCAACTCGGAGCAAACGAGTGGAATTAAACAAAACTCCAATTTCTCCGGGGAAGGAGGCGGGACCAGACGGAAATCTGGCAGTTTTTGGGTACCTGGTGCTGGAACTTGGAGGGGTCCCGGCTGCTGACGGGCACGGCGCTGCCGTAGACGTGCAGCTCGCGCACCACGGAGGCGCCGCCGCGCAGCTCGGGGCGGAAGGCGGCGGCCGAGCCGCGCCGCAGCCGCAGCAGCCCCACCAGGATGTCCCGCTCCGGGTCCTCGTACGACAGGAACGTCTCCCAGCCGCCGTTGGCCACGTAGTCCCGGCGGATCAGCTCCACCTGCGGCGGGGAGCGGGAGGGGAAAAGGGGAAAATGGAAAATGTGAGAGGGGAGACGATTCAGTGGGTCCATAAATACGGGCAAACAGGAGGGGATTCCATAAAGCCAATTTAATTCCAGATGGGAATCTGGAATTGGCCACGTAGTCCCGGCGGATCAGCTCCACCTGCGGCGGGGAGCGGGAGGGGAAAAGGGGAAAATGGAAAATGTGAGTGAGGCAAATTCTGTGGATCCATAAAGAGTGAGGCAAGTTCCGTGGATCCATAAATATGCGCAGAGCAAACAGGAAGGGATTCCCCAAAGCCGGTTAGGTTCCAGATGGGAATTTGGAATTGGCCTCGTGATCCCGATGGATCAGCTCCACCTGGGATGGTAGCGGGACGGAGGAGGGGGGAAAAGAGGGAAAATGTGAGAGGGAAGCCGATTCCATGGATCCATAAATAGGCTCAGAGCAAACAGGAAGAGATTCCCCAAAGCCAGTTTGATTCCAGATGGGAATTTGGAATTGACCTCATAATCCTGATGGATCAGCCCCACCTGGTCTGAGACCAGGATGGATGAGGAGGGAAAGGAGGGAAAAGGGGAAATATCAGAGCGAAGACGACTCCGTGCATCCATTAATAAGAGCAGACAAGAAGGGATTCTCTAAAGCCAATTTGATTCCAGATGGGAATTTGGAATTGGCCACGTGATCCCAATGGATCAGCTCCACCTGGGATGGTAGCGGGACGGAGGAGGGGGGAAAAGAGGGAAAATGTGAGAGGGAAGCCGATTCCATGGATCCATAAATAGGCTCAGAGCAAACAGGATGGGATTCCATAAAGGCAGTTTGGTTCCAAAAGGGAATTTGGAATTGGCCTCGTAAATCCAACGGACCAAACCCAGCTGAGCTGGGAGAGGGATGGATGAGGAGGAAAAGGAGGGAAGCCGGTTCTGTGGATCCATAAATATGTTCAGAGCAAACAGGAAGGGATTATTCCCCAAAGCCAGTTTGGTTCCAGATGGGAATTCGGAATTGGCCGCGTGATCCTGATGGATCAGCTCCACCTGGGGCGGGAGATGGATGGACGAGGAGGGAAAAGAGGGAAAATGGAAAACGTGAGAATGAAGCCGATTCCGTAGATTCATAAATATGAGCAAAAACAAAGGGATTCCTTAAAGCCAATTGAATTCCAGATGGGAATTTGGAATTGGTCACATAATTCCTATGGATCAACCACACCTGAGCTGGGAGTGAGAGGAGGGGAAAAGGAACAGGTGAGAGCGAAACCAATTCCATGGATCCATAAATATGGCTCAGAGCAAACAGGAGGGGATTCCCCAGAGCTAATTTAATTCCAGATGGGAATTTGGAATTGGCCACGTGATCCTGACATATCAGCTTCACCCGATCTGGCAGGAAGATGGATGAGGAGGGAAAGGAGGGAAAAAGGAAAATGTGAGAGTGAGGCAAATTCTGTGGATCCATAAATATGTTCAGAGCAAACAGGAGGGGATTCTTCCCCAAAGCCAGTTTGGTTCCAGATGGGAATTCGGAATTGGCCATGTGATCCTGATGGATCAGCTCCACCTGGGGCGGGAGATGGATGGACGAGGAGGGAAAAGAGGGAAAATGGAAAATGTGAGAATGAAGCCGATTCCGTACATTCATAAATATGAGCAAAAACAAAGGGATTCCTTAAAGCCGATTTAATTCCAGATGGGAATTTGGAATTGGCCTCATAAATCCAACGGACCAAACCCACCTGAGCTGGGAGAGGGATGGAGGAGATGGGAAAGGAGGGAAAATGGAAAATGTGAGAGGGAAGCCAATTCCATGGATCCATAAATACGGCTCAGAGCAAACAGGAAGGGATTTCCCAAAGCCAGTTTGGTTCCAGATGGGAATCGTGATGATCTCTGGCACAGACTCGTGGAATGGTTTGGGTGGGAAGGGACCTTCAATCCCACCCCATTCCCAGGACACCTTCCGCCATCCCAGGCTGCTCCAGCCTTTCCTTGGGCACTCCCAGGGATTCTCTGGGAATTCCTTCCCCAATCCCATTCCCACTTTCCCAGGGAATTCCCTCCATTCCCAGCTCTCCCAGCCTGGCATTGGATCCAGCCCCATCCCCATGCCCAGAAATTTTGGGAATTCCCTGGGAATTGGGGACTCCAGGAAGGGTCTCCCTTCCTTTTTCCATCCCAAATCCCATAAAAACCCCTGGGGATGGATCCTGAGTGTCCTGGATCCCAGAATCCCGGAATGGTTTGGGATGGGATCCATGGACCTTCAATCCCATCCCATTCCAATCTCAGGGTGATCCAACTCTTCCGTGGACACTCCCAGGGATTCTCTGGGAATTCCAGCCCAGCCGGGAATTCTTCCCCAATCCCATTTCCCCTTTCCCAGGGAATTCCCTCCATTCCCAGCTCCCCCAGCCTGGCATTGGATCCATCCTCATGCCAATTCCTCCATGAGAAGGAATTTTGGGAATTCCCTGGGAATTCGGGACTCCAGGAAGGGTCTCCCTTCCCTTTTCCATCCCAAATCCCATAAAACCCCCTGGGGATGGATCCTGAGTGTCCTGGATCCCAGAATCCCGGAATTGTTTGGGATGGGATCCAGGGACCTTCAATCCCATCCCGTTCCCACCCCTGATCCCAGATTGCCCCAAACCCCATCCGGGCTCTCCCTGAACCCTGCAGCGACAATTCCCTGTCCCCAAACCTTCCCTTTTTCCTGTAAAAATCCCATTAAATACCTGGAATTTTTCTGGACCCAATCCAGCCCCAAAATGTGCTTTATTTATTTATTCCTCGTTATCCCAACACAATCCCTCTGATTTCCAGGAATTGGGCTCCGACCCTTCCGGGATCCATAATTTCATTTTCTCCAGCATTCCCAACCCCTCCTGACACCTCCAAATAAAATCCCAGACATGGGAAAAAACATCCCCAAAATTCAGATTATTAATTAATTAGAGACGGTGATTAATTAACTAATTAATTAATTAATCAGGATCCCGTTTCCCATCAGGGGGATGATGCTGGTTGTTCACCAATCCCCCCAAACATCCATGGAAAAGCTCCTGGTGCTTTTCCCGGGATTCCTGCTCCTGCCCGAACAAAGGGAATTTTCCGCTTGGAAAAGCCCGGGATGAGCCCGCCCTCCCCTCATTTGCAATTCAAATGAGACCCGGCAGAAACGCGGGAAAAAATTCCCGATTTTCCCGGGAGCCGGAGCGGCCTCGGATCCTGGAAAAAACGGGAAATTTTTTTGGAATTCTTTTGGATTTTGGAGATTTTTTGGGGGGATTTTTGGGGGATTTTTGAGAGTTTTTTGGGGATTTTTTGGGAATTTTGGAGGTTTTTTGGGATTTTTGATTTGAGTATTTCACTCATCACAAAGGAAAAAAAAAACCAAGGGAATAAAATTCCCTGGAATCTCTGACTGGAAAAATCTTCTGGACTCAGGGAATGTTCTCCAAACTCCTCCAAGCCTGAGGAATCCGTGGAATTCCAAAGCAGGAATGAAGAGGAAATTCAGGAATTCGGGGATCGGTTTGGGATTTGGGATGGGGAGGGGGTTTGGAAGTGGATCCCTGATCCAGCTTTTCCCAGCACCCCAAAATTCCTGCTGGAATTTAATTTATTGGAAGTGAAATCCGGAATTGCTTTGGACCTTCCTGAGGAGGAACAGGAAGAGGGAATTGCCAGGATATGGAAATTTCCTGGATATGGGAATTCCCAGGATATGGAAATTTCCAGCTTATGGGAATTCCCAGGATATGGGAATTTCCAGGATATGAATATTTCCAGGATATGAACATTCCCAGGATATGGAAATTCCTGGGATATGGACATTTCCAGAATATGGGAATTCCTGGGATATGGAAATTCCCTGGATATGGAAATTTCCAAGACATGGATATTCCCAGGATATAAAAATTTCCAGGATATGGAAATTTCTGAGATATGGAAATTCCCTGGTTATGGAAATTTCTGGGACGTGAATATTCCCAGGATATGGGAATTCCTGGGATAAGAAAATTCCCAGGATATGGGAATTTCCACAATATGGAAATTCCCAGGATATAGAAATTTCCAGGATGTGAATAGTCCCAGGATATGAACATTCCCAGGATACGGAAGTTTTCAAGATATGGAAATTCCTGGGACATGAATATTCCCAGGATATGGAAATTCCTAGGATATGGAAATTTCCAGGGCACAGGAACTCCAGCGATATAGAAATTTCTAGGATATGAACATTCCCAGGTTATGGAAATTTCTAGGATATGGAAATACCTAAGACATGGGAATTCTGAGGACATGGAAATTTCCAGGATATGGGATTTCCCAGAATATGGAAATTCCAAGAATATGGAAATTCCTGGGATATAGCAATTCCCAGGATATGGAATTTCCCAGAATATGGAAATTCCCAGGATACGGAAATTTCTGGGATATGAATATTCCTGGGATATGGATATTCCCTGGATATGGAAATTTCCAGGATATGGAAATTCCCTGGATATGGGAATTTCCACAATATGGAAATTTCCAGCTTATGGCAATTCCCAGGATATGGAAATTTTCAGGATACGGAAATTCCCTGGATATGGGAACTCCCAGGATATGGCAATTCCCAGGATACGGAAATTCCCGGGATATGAATATTCCCAGGATATGGAAATTTCTGGGACACTAATAGTCCCAGGATATGGCAATTCCCAGGATATGGAAATTCCCGGGATATGGATATTTCCAGGATATGGAAATTTCTGGGATATTGACATTTCCAGAATATGGGAATTCCTGGGATATGGAAATTCCCTGGATATGGAAATTTCCAAGACATGGATATTCCCAGGATATAAAAATTTCCAGGATATGGAAATTTCTGAGATATGGAAATTCCCTGGTTATGGAAATTTCTGGGACGTGAATATTCCCAGGATATGGGAATTCCCAGGATATGGAAATTTCTGGGACACTAATACTCCCAGGATATGGGAATTCCCAGGATTTGGAAATTTCTGGGATATGGAAATTTCTGGGATATGGGCATTTTCAGGATATGGAAATTGCCTGCACATGGAAATTTCCAGGATATGGGAACTCTTGGGATATGGAAATTCCCAGCATATGGGAATTCCTAGGAGATGGAAATTTCCAGGATATGGAAACTTCCAGGATATGGAAATTCCCAGGACATGGAAATTTCTGGGATATGGGAATTCCTAGGATATGGAAATTCCCAGGATATGAGAATTCTCAGGATTTGGGAATTCCTAGGATATGGAAATTCCCAGGATATGAATATTCCCAGGATATAGACACTTCCAGGATATGGGAATTCCCAGGACACGGAAATTTCTGGGATATGGGAATTCCTAGGATATGGAAATTCCCAGGATATGAATATTCCCAGGATATAGACATTTCCAGGATATGAAAATTTCTGGGACATGGAAATTCCTGGGATATGGAAACTTCTGGGATATGGGAATTCCCAGGATAGGGAAATTCACCCCAAAAAATCTCTAAATTCACCATTCTTACTCCCAACACACTCAGGGCGTTATTGGAGTTCCCAAAATTTCAATTTTTAAAAATTTCAATTACATGCAAATATATGGTATTATTACACATAACATACATTATATATAGCATATAATACATATGTTATTTAAATATATAATACATAAAATGCATATAATAGAAATGCATCATGGATTTTTTGTATTTATACAATTCTATATTTACATTTATATTTATATTTATGTTCATATATATGTATTCATATATATATATATACATTTTAACACACATTTTTTCCTATATAAAACCACATTTCAATATACAAATTTTGCCTAAAGCCATGGAAATTCACCAAAAAATCTCTAAATTCGCCATTGTTACTCCCAACACACTCAGGGTGCTATTGGATTTCCCAAAATTCCATTTTTAAAAATTTCAATTATAAGCAGATATATTGTGCTATTATATATAACATACATTATATATAGCATGTATATGTTATTTATATATATACAATATATAAAATACATATGGTAGAAATGTATGTCTATTTATATTTATATAATTTTAATTTTATATTTACATTTATAATTATATTTTTATATGTTTATATTTATATCTATGTTTATATTTATATCTATATTTACATCTCTCTATATAAATTTTAATGCACATTTTTTCCTATATAAATCCATATTTAAATAGACGCATTTTGCCTAAAAACCGTGGAAATTCACCCAAAAAATCTCTAAACTCACCATTCTTACTCCCAACACACTCAGGGTATTATTGGATTTCCCAAAATTTCAATTTAAAAAATTTCAATTACATGCAGATATATTGACTTATTATATATAACATGCATTATATATAACATATATGTGTTATATAAATATACAACACCTAAAATGCATATAATAGAAATGTGTGCCTATTTATATTTATATAATTTTAATTTTATATTTACATTTATAATTATATTTTCATATGTTTATATTTATATCTATGTTTATATTTATATCTATATTTACATCTCTCTATATAAATTTTAATGCACATTTTTTCCTATATAAATCCATATTTAAATAGACACATTTTGCCTAAAAACCGTGGAAATTCACCCAAAAAATCTCTAAATTCCCATTCTTACTCCCAACAGACCCAAGGTATTATTGGATTTCCAAAAATTCCCCAAATTCCGGTTTTTATGGGTAAAAAAGGGGAGATGTGAATTTTATGGAAGCGCAAACCCCCCACACCCAGCGCAGATCCACAGATCCCGGAATTTCCTCAGGAATTCCCAAAATTTGGGATTTTTACCTGGTAGGGCCTCACTTTGTGGTGGATCTCCTGAATTCCGACCTCGCGCGTCCTCACGTCGCGGCACTGGGGGGAAACGGGGAAACTCTGAGCATGGAAAATTCCGGAAAATTCTGGAAAATTCCAGAAAATTCCGGAAAATTCCGAAAAAAATTCCAGAAAATTCCATAAATTCTGGGGTTCGAAACCCCTGGGGATGGATCCTGAGTGTCCTGGATCCCAAAATCCCGGAATGGTTTGGGATGGGATCCAGGGACCTGCAATCCCATTGGAAGAGAATTCTGGGATCCAGGAAGGAATTTTGGGAATTCCCTGGGAATTGGGGACTCCAGGAAGTTTCTCCCTTCCCTTTTCCATCCCCAAATCCCATAAAAATCCCTCGGGATGGATCCTGGATCCCAGAATCCCGGAATGGTTTGGGATGGGATCCATGGACCTTCAATCCCATCCCATTCCCGCCCCACAATTCCGGGATTTTCCAGCCTTTCCTGGGACACTCCCAGGGATTCTCTGGGAATTCCAGCCCAAATTTGAGGGATTTTTTTGGTGGAATTTTTTGGGGATTTGGGGATTTGTTTGGGTGGGGATTTGGGGATTATTGGAATACCCCAGGAATTCCTTCCCCAATCCCATTTTCCCTTTCCCAGGGAATTCCCTCCATTCCCAGCCTGGCACTGGATCCATCCCCATCCCAGCTCCTTTCCGGGAAGGAATTTTGGGAATTCCCTGGGAATTTTGGATCTCCCTTCCCTTTTCCATCCCCAGATCCCATAAAAATCCCTCAGGATGGATCCTGTGTCCTGGATCCCAAAATCCCGGAATTCTTTGGGATCCAGATCTGAGAGTTCCTCCCCAGCTCCTCCCTCACGTAAACGTGTGGGAAAGAGAAATGGAGGAGAATTTTAAAAGGATTTTTTTTTTGTCTTTTCCCTCTGATTTCAGGGCTCCAATTCTGCTCCAAAAAAATGGGAAAAAATGGGGAAAATGGGAAAAAATGGGGGGGGGTTGGCAAAATAAAAGAGGAAGAAAAGGGGAAAAAAAGGATAAAAAAAGGGGGAAAAATGGGGAAAAATGTGGGAAAAAATTGGGGAAAATGGAAAAAAAAATGGGGAAATGGGAAAAGGGGCTTGGCAAAAAAAAAAAGGGGGAGAAACGGGATAAAAGGATAAAAAAGGGGGAAAAAAGGGGAAAAAATGTGGGAAAAAAATGGGAAAATGGAAAAAAAAAAAAAGAGGAAAAACCAGGAAAAAAAAATGGGATTTAAACTCCCACTTTCCAGGTGCATTCAGGACAGGGGTGGAAGAGGAAAATTAAATTCTTCCCCAAAAAAAAGCAGCTTGTCAGCAAGGAGCTTTTTAGTAATTAATTTACTTTTTTGGGGGTTTTTTAAGCCTTTAAGCCAAATTTGGTTTTTTAGTTTTTTTTTTAAAGCCAAATCTGGTTCTCTCGGGGTTTAAGCCAAATCTGGTCCTTTTCTTGGTTTTTTTTTAAAGCCAAATCTGATTTTTTTGGGGTTTTTCAAAAGCCAAATCTGGTTCTTTGAGGGTTTTTCTTTTTAAGCCAAATCTGCTCCTTTTGGGTTTTTTTAAGCCAAATTTGGTTCTTTTTTGGTTTTTTTTTTAAGCCAAATCTGATTTTTTTTGAGTTTTTCAAAATCCAAATTTGGTTATTTTGGAGTTTTTCTTTTAAGACAAATCTGGTTCTTTTGTTTTTTTGGGTTTTTTAAACTAAATCTGGTTCTTTTGGGGTTTTATTTAAGCCAAATCTGATTATTTTGGTTGTTTTTTAAAGCCAAATTTGATTTTTTTTAAGCAAAATCTGATTCTTTTGGTTGATTTTTTTAAGCCAGATTTGGTCCTTTTGGTTTTTTTTTTAAGCCAAATTTATTTTTGTTTTTTTAGCCAAATCAGGTTCTTTTTTTAAGCCAAATCTGCTTCTTTTGGGGTTTTTTTTAACCCAAATCTGATTTTTTGGGGTTTTTTTAAAGCCAAATCTGCATCCTTTGGGTTTTTCATCTCCTGATTTGTGTGGAGCCATCAAATCTCCTTCAACAAAACAAATGAAGATTTTCCTTCATTGTTCATTATTTTTAAAAGATACCTATTCAATATTTCATGATATTTTATTGCAAATACATACAAATGATTTATAAACCAAATGAATAAACATTTTAAATGATTATTAATGAATTATTTTTTGATAATTTACCTGCGTGCCGAGGTCCCTCATCCTGGCCAGGGCGAGCTCCCTCAGGTTGCCGTGCTCCACCCCGGAGCTCACCAGGGGCATTGGGATATCCCTGCAAAACAACAGGAAAAATCCAAATTTTAGCACAATTAATAGAGAATCCACCAAAAAACATCCTCAGGCCAAAATCCCAAACCGCTCCATCCCCAAATTTCCCGAATTCCTGTTGGGTTTTCGAGGTTTGGTTGAAAAAGAAATCAAAAAACCAATTAAAAACAGAAGGAAAATGAAAAGTAAACATGAGAAATGAAGAAAAATTAACAGAAAAAATCACAAATTTTATTAAAAGTGAAAAAATCTGAATATAAAATTTAAAAATCCTAAAAATTGGGGTTTTCTGTCAGTTCTTCACTTGGGAATCTGGGGAAAAAGGGATCACCCAGGTGTTCTTCGTTATCTGCTGCTGGAGAAAAAAATTGGGAAATTTGGGGAAAATCCATCAGAATCACAATTTTTCCATGGGGGGATTTTGGTATTTTCCTTAAAAAGTTCAACTGTTCACAAAAAATCCCTCAGATTTCCACCAAAATCCCTCAGATTTCCACCAAAATCCCTCAGATTTCCACCAAATTTCAAATGTTCATCCAAAATCCTTCAGATTTCCACCAAAATCCCTCAGATTTCCACTGAAATTCCAAAAATATTCCACCAGAATTCCACCTGTTCACCCCAAATCCCTCAGATTTCCACCAAAATCCCTCAAATTTCCACCAAAATCCTTCAGATTTTCACCAAAATCCCTCAGATGTCCACCTAAATTCCTCAAATTTCCACCAAAATTCCAAATGTTCATCCCAAATCCCTCAGACTTCCACCAAAATCCCTCACATTTTCACCCAAAATCCCTCAGATTTTCACCAAAATGACAACTTTTCAGCCAAAATCCTTCAGATTTTCACCAAAATTCCACTTGTTCATCCCAAAATCCCTCAATTTCCACCAAAATTCCACCTGTTCATCCAAAATTCCACCTGTTCACAAAACATCCCTCGGATTTCCACCAAAATTCCTCAAATTTTCACCAAAATCGCTCAGATTACCACCATAATTCCTCAGATTTTCTCCAAAATCCCTCGGATTTCCACCAAAATTCCACCAAAATTCCACCTGTTCATCAAAAATCCCTCAGATTTCACCAAAATCCCTCAAATTTTCACCCAAAATCCCTCAGATTTTCACCCCAAATCCCTCAGATTTACACCAAAATTCAATTCAAAATTCCCAATGGAGGGAATTCCCTGGGAAAGGGAATAATGGGATTTGGGAAAGAATTCCTGGGGTATCCCAGGGTATCCCAATCACCCCAAAAAAACCCCAAATCCCAGAAAAAGAACCTCAAATGCCCAAGAAAACACAAATCCCCAAATATTGCAGAAAACGTCAAATCCTTTTAAAATTCCAAAAAGTTCCCCAAAAAAACCCTTCAAATTTGGGAAGGAATTTGGGAAGGAATTCCCAGCTGGGCTGGAATTCCCAGAGAATCCCTGGCAGTGTCCAAGGAACGGTTGGAGCAATCTGGGATCAAGGTTGGAATGGGATGGGATTGAAGGTCCACGGATCCCATCCCAAACCATTCCAGGATTCTGGGATCCAGGATCCATCCCCAGGGATTTTTATGGGATTTGGGGATGGAAAAGGGAAGGGAGAAATTTCCTGGAGTCCTGAATTCCTTCCCAGAGAGGAGCTGGGATGGGGGGGATGGATCCAGTGCCAGGCTGGGAGAGCTGGGAATGGAGGGGATTCCCTGGGAAAGAAGGAAATGGGATTTGGGACGGAATTCCCAGAGAATCCCTGGCAGTGTCCAAGGGCGATAACGAAGGCCGAATCAGACGGGGCCGTAATTAACGGATCGAGGCCGGAATCGCTCCCGGAGCAGCGCGGAGACAACTCCAGTTGGGAATTACCTCTGGACACGGTAGACGCGCGTCCAGGGCGGCACCAGGGCCAGGATCCGCGCCACCAGGTCCACCAGGGTGCTGGGGGGGTAACTGCGGTACCGCCCGCTCTTCCAGAGCTCGTAGAGCCCCGTGCCGCGGATCACCAGCGTGGGGTACAGCTTCAGCCCGTCCGGACGGAACGCCGGGTTCTCGAAAAACTCCTGGGAAAAGAACAAAAAATACAGGAATTGGTGTGGGAGAGTTGGGGGTTGGATGGATCCCCGTGCCGCGGATCACCAGCGTGGGGTACAGCTTCAGCCCGTCCGGACGGAACGCCGGGTTCTCGAAAAACTCCTGGGAAAAGAACAAAAAATACAGGAATTGGTGTGGGAGAGTTGGGGGTTGGATGGATCCCCGTGCCGCGGATCACCAGCGTGGGGTACAGCTTCAGCCCGTCCGGCCGGAACGCCGGGTTCTCAAAAAACTGCTGGGAAAAGAACAAAGAAAAAACCAGGAATTGGTGTGGATGGTTGGGATGGATGGAGGTGAGAGATCTCTTGTAAGAGCCGAAATGAGGGATGTGGGACTTCACATGGCTCTCCAAAATGCAGTTTATTCCATCCAAGAGGTCACAGCAGTCCAGGGTCATGGGTGGCAGAGCTGTGCCCACAGCTGTCAGCTCCAGCTGCAGGCAGGCCTGGAGACCCAGATCCCTCGCTCAGGCTCTTATGGGTGGCACCCCACGTTGGGCGCCACTGTAACAGCCTAAATCAGGGATGTGGGACTCCAGGGGCTCTCCAAAATTCCATCCAAGAGGTCACAGCAGTCCAGGGTGGTGGGTGACAGAGCTGTGCCCACAGCTGTGCTCCAGCTGCAGGCAGGCCTGGAGACCCACATGCCCAACTCAGGCTCTTACTGATGGTGCCCCACGTTGGGCGCCACTCTAACAGCCTAAATCAGAGATGTGCGACTCCAGGGGCTCTCCAAAATGCAGTTTATGGTATCCAAAATGCAGTTTATTGTATCTAAGAGGTTACAGCAGTACAAGGTCATGGGTGACAGAGCTGTGCCCACAGCTGTCAGCTCCAGCTGCAGGCAGCCCTGGAGACCCACATCCCTCACTCAGGCTCTTACTGATGGTGCCCCACGTTGGGCGCCACTCTAACAGCCTAAATCAGAGATGTGCGACTCCAGGGGCTCTCCAAAATGCAGTTTATTGTATCCAAAATGCAGTTTATTCTATCTAAGAGGTCACAGCAGCCCAGGGCTGTGGGTGACAGAGCTGTGCCCACAGCTGTGCTCCAGCCGCAGGCAGGCCTGGAGACCCTTTGGTTTTGGTTACACTGCATTCTAGACTTTTCTCTGCTGAGCATCTTCATACAGTAGAGCCAATCTATACCTTAACTGTTATCTATAGCCTATGATAACTACTGTAATTACCATATTCATGTTACTATTCTCCAATCACTAAAAGTCAGTACATCACAGTTTAAGCCAGAAGTTGTTTTTCAGTTTCCTTGCAGTGGAAAATTCTGACACCTTTTTTCTACTTGCAACATTTGCTGCCTTGTTTGCCTGTGCTCTCTTTCTGCTTGGTAAAAACATCTTCATGTTTGGGGTGGGTTCATCCTTTGCTCTAAGCCATAAAACCCCTTCTAACCAACATACCCTTTGCCTCCTTGATTATCCAGTGAGACTCAGCAATTCTTTTCTTCTATATCAAAACTTGCTTCCATCTCTATTCCTTCATCAGACTCCACATTTAAAAATCTTTCTGCCAAGCACACAGATCTGTGACACCTTCTTATCAAACTTCCATCCTTCCCAACAATCTCTGAAGGAGGTGGGGGAATTTGGGGTTTGTGGCAAAGGGCCAAGTGCGGGGACCGGCTGGGAGCCGCCAGACACAGATCAGAGCAGAAAAGAGAAGCAAAGAGGGTGGGAAACAGAGAGAGAGTAATAAACGGAGTGGGGAAAAGAGAGAGAGAAATAAAGAGAGTGGGAAAGAGAAAGAGAAATAAAGACAGTGGGAAAGAGAAATAAAGAGAGTGGGAATGAGAGAGAGAAAAATAAAGAGAGTGGGAATGAGAGAGAGAAAAATAAAGAGAGTGGGAAAGAGAGAGAAATAGAGAAGTAAAGAGAGAGAGAAGTAAAGAGAGAGGTAAAGAGAGAGAGAAATAAAGAGAGTGAGAAAGAGAGAAGCAAAGAGAGTGGGAAAGAGAGAGAAGTAAAGAGAAGGGGAAATAGAGTGGGAAAGAGAGAAAGAAATAGAGTGGTAAAGGCGATGAGAGAGAGAGGATGAAAGGATGAGAGGATGAGAGAACGAGGTTCCCGTCACAATACCATAAATCTTTTTCTGTGTTGAATATTCTGATTCTCACTAACCAGTCTAAGACACAAATCCTACAGCATTCACACACAGCCCGTAAGAATCATTAAATTACCACACTGTGTTACATTTTAAACCCTAAAGGTAAAGAGGATGAGAGAGTAAGAGAGCAAAGTTTCCATTACAATACCACAAATCTTCCTCTTTGCTGAATATTCTAATTCTCACTAACCAACCTAGTACAATACACAAATCCTACAGCATTCACACACAGCCCGTAAGAATCATGACATTCCCACACTGTGCTACATTTTACACCCTAAACATGAAGAGGATGAGAGGATGAGCGGGTAAGATATCAAGGTTCCCCTTACAGAACCACAAATCTTCTTCTGTGTTGAATATTCTAATTCTCACTAACCAATCTAAGACACAAATCTACAGCATTCACACACAGCCTGTAAGAACCATTACATTCCCACGCTGTGTTACATTTTACACCCTAAACATGAAGAGGATGAGAGGATGAGAGGGTAAGAAAGCAAAGTTCCCATTAAAATCCCATAAATCATCTTCTGGGTTGAATATTCTGATTTTCACTAACCAATCTAAGATACAAATCCTACAGCATTTACATACAGCCCGTAAGAATCATTACATCACCATATTGGGTTACATTTAAACCCTAAAGGTAAAGAGGATGAGAGGATGAGAGGGTAAGAGAACGAGGTTCCCATTACAATACAACAAATCTGTGTTGAACATCCTAGTTTTCACTAACCCAAGACACAAATCCTACAGCATTCACACACAGCCTGTAAGAATCCTTACATTCCCATCCTGTGTTACATTTTAAACCCTAAAGGTAAAGAGGATGAGAGGGTGAGAGGGTAAGATATCAAGGTTCCCCTTACAGAACCATAAATCTTCTTCTGTGTTGAATATTCGAATTAGAATATTCAACAATCCAAGACACAAATCCTACAGCATTCAGAAATCCTACAGCCCGTAAGAATCGTTACATCACCACACTGTGTTACATTTTAAACCCTAAAGGTAAAGAGGATGAGAGGATGAGCGGGTAAGATATCAAGGTTCCCGTTACAATACCATAAATTTTCTTCTGTGTTGAATATTCGAATTAGAATATTCAACAATCTAAGTAAGACACAAATCCTACAGCATTCACACACAGCCTGTAAGGACCATTACATTCCCACACTGTGTTACATTTTAAACCCTAAAGGTAAAGAGGATGAGAGGATGAGCGGGTAAGATATCAAGGTTCCCGTTACAATACCATAAATTTTCTTCTGTGTTGAATATTCGAATTAGAATATTCAACAATCTAAGTAAGACACAAATCCTACAGCATTCACACACAGCCTGTAAGGACCATTACATTCCCACGCTGTGTTACATTTTAAACCCTAAAGGTAAATAGGATGAACGGGCAAAATATCAAGGTTCCCCTTACAACACCACAAATCTTCTTCTGTGTTGAATATTCTGATTATCACTAATCCAAGACACAAATCCTACAGCATTCACACACAGCCTGTAAGAACCATTCCATTCCCACACTGGGTTACATTTTACACCCTAAACATGAAGAGGATGAGAGGATGAGAGGGTAAGATATCAAGGTTCCCTTACAGTACCATAAATCTTCTTCTGTGTTGAACATCCTAATTCCCACCTACCAATCTAGTACAATACACAAATCCTACAGCATTCACACACAGCCCGTAAGAACCATTCCATTCCCACGCTGTGTTACATTTTAAACCCTAAAAGTAAGGAGGATGAGAGGATGAGAGGGTAAGAGAGCGAAGTTCCCCTTACAGAACCATAAATCCTCTTCTGTGCTGAATATTCTAATTAGAATATTCAACAATCCAAGACACAAATCCTACAGCATTCAGAAATCCTACAGCCCGTAAGAATCGTTACATCACCACACTGTGTTACATTTTAAACCCTAAAGGTAAAGAGGATGAGAGGGTGAGAGGGTAAAATATCAAGGTTCCCCTTACAACACCATAAATCTTCTTCTGTGCTGAATATTCTGATTATCACTAACCCAAGACACAAATCCTACAGCATTCACACACAGCCCGTAAGAACCATTACATTCCCATCCTGTGTTACATTTTACACCCTAAAGGTAAAGAGGATGAGAGGATGAGAAGATATCAAGGTTCCCCTTACAGAACCATAAATCTTCTTCTGTGCTGAATATTCGAATTAGAATATTCAACAATCTAAGACACAAATCCTACAGCATTCACACACAGCCTGTAAGAATCGTTACATCACCACACTGTGTTACATTTTAAACCCTAAAGGTAAAGAGGATGAGAGGGTGAGAGGGTAAGATATCAAGGTTCCCGTTACAATACCATAAATCTTCTTCTGTGTTGAATATTCTGATTCTCACTAATCCAAGACACAAATCCTACAGCATTCACACACAGCCTGTAAGAACCATTCCATTCCCACGCTGTGTTACATTTTAAACCCTAAAAGTAAGGAGGATGAGAGGATGAGAGGGTAAGAGAGCGAAGTTCCCCTTACAGAACCATAAATCTTCTTCTGTGTTGAATATTCTGATTCTCACTGACCAATCTAAGATACAAATCCTACAGCATTCACATACAGCACATAAGAATCATGACATTCCCACACTGTGTTACATTTTAAACCCTAAAGGTAAAGAGGATGAGAGGATGAGCGGGTAAAATATCAAGGTTCCCCTTACAGAACCACAAATCTTCTTCTGTGTTGAATATTCTAATTCTCACTAACCAATCCAAGACACAAATCCTACAGCATTCACATACAGCCCATAAGAATCCTTACATTCCCACACTGTGTTACATTTTAAACCCTAAAGGTAAAGAGGATGAGAGGGTGAGAGGGTAAGATACCAAGGTTCCCCTTACAGAACCATAAATCTTCTTCTGTGCTGAATATTCTAATTAGAATATTCAACAATCCAAGACACAAATCCTACAGCATTCAGAAATCCTACAGCCCGTAAGAATCGTTACATCACCACACTGTGTTACATTTTACACCCTAAAGGTAAAGAGGATGAGAGGATAAGAGGGCATAATACAAAGTTCCCCTTACAATCCCATAAATCTTCTTCT